AGGATATAGATATTAGTTAGGAAACAGTCTTACCTTGGCTTAAGGGTGACGCGAGGCCGTTCCGCCGTTCCGCAACCGTCATTCACACAGAGCTTGACCTGCCAGGTTCGGAGCCGCCCTTTGTTTTGAAAAACGCAACATTTCGTGCGTCCGCTATCTCTCGAAAATGCATTCCCACGGTGCGTGCTGAAGAGTGGAGCTAGAGCTAACTAGAGCGAGATCCACCCGGAGCTACAGCGAACCAGAGCAAGTAAAGCTAGACGCTGTTGAAAGTCCGTAACACGGAAGTTTTGCAAACTAAACGTCCTTTGATAAAAGGCGCCTACTTAATTAAGGGGGCAGGGCCGAGCTGGCTTTTAAAAGAGAAAAAAGGACGCAAGAATGGGGCGTAGCGTCCTGGCGACCAGGTTCTGAAGACTTTGTAGATTGCATCCTAAACGGATGCAAACCTGCTGACGAGCACGAGCAGTGGTACTGGACGCTGGAGCAGTATGCCTACGACTTCCTGAAGGCCTAGATTTGCAAGGGCAGAATGACATCCCGAGCTACTACTTCCGTCCAGCATTTCAATATTTCAGACACGATCAAGAAATGACGTAAAGAAAGAAAACAAGAAGAAACGAAAGAAAGAACACGTCCAAAGGTCTAAAGAAAGAGAAGAAGTAGAAGAAACAACAGAACAGAAATAGACTTAGAGATTTAGAGGAAGAAAGAAACGAAGAACTGGAAGACAAGAAACTGCATGAATAAAGAAACAGAGGCGACAGGCGAAATCCTGTAAGAACAGGTAGTCAAGTGGGGAATCAAGTAGCGTGTGTGTGTACCCCTTGGAATCATAGGGATTCCTTCCAGTTTGTTTTTCTCTTGTCAGCAGAAGGCGCCTGGAGCAGAGATAGGGCAGGTGCCAACGAAGACACCTATCTCTTGCTTGCGATATCGACGGGAGGCGGCCGTCGACGTACCTGCTCTGAACATATTGACTCCACTGGTCCTCCCTCGTTCAGGCTGTTTCTAGGTTCGTCAGGTGCTGTAAGGCGCTAGTGTGAGTTCTGCAGGCGCACGACAGCGCCAGCCTGTTTCGCTCGTCGACTTTAAAATTGATATTTTGGCTTCACTTTCCTTTTGTTAGACCTCCAGGGTCCTCCCACTTCTTAGGCGAATTGGTGCCTAGGTTGCCGTGTGGTGTGGCATTCAGTTCCATACGCATAATCTTGAGTGCGTCTGGCTTCATGCCAGCCCAGGGTGAACCCGAGGAGTGCCCCCTGTGGCCCTGTTGAACGGGGGTTCGTCCATGTTTCCATTGCTTCAGAAACGCACGCGCCCACAGCGGGCGGAGTAACGGGCCTGAGCCAAAGTCATTTGCCAAGATTTGCTGAATTATTGAGTACAAGTAGACAAGTAGGCAGCTCTTGAGTACGCCGTTAGGTGGACGTAGCGACCGAAGCTGTTCAAGGTCCATTGAGACCTGCGGGGCCTTAAAAGAGTGCGCGCACGTAGACTCTCTACCAGGCACATCGTGTACAGTCTTACTTAGATTACATACCACGCTCCCAGATACCCGATAAACCGAAAGGTCATGGGAAGCGCCTCAGACAGAGTCCGCAAGTTTCGTTGGCAGGTCTACCCACATTGCTTTAATGAGGTCTCTCGAAGGGTCATGGGAAGCGCCTCAGACAGAGTCCGCAAGTTTCGTTGGCAGGTCTACCCAGGTCGCTTTAATGAGGTCTGGCTTCATCCATCTCCGGCCCCTCCATTGGTTTCCTTTTCATTCTTGCCCCTTCGCGCGCGCTTTCTTTCCTTCAGTTTTGTTTCATGTCTTTCCCGGCTTCATGTCCTGTCATTTCACTCCTCTCTTTCGCTTGCGCGCGCATCGGCCCGGCCCTTAGTATGTCGCGCGCATCTACTTTAAAGCCAGGTTTCTCAGGTCGCCCAGGTCTTTACAATGAGGTGGGGTTCACTGTTTGTCCCTGGTCACTTAGCTCCCCTTCATCGCAACCATGTGGCTTCCATTGGTTTCCGGCCCTTCCATTTTGTTCACCATTTCATCTTTTTCCCCTTTGCGCACATCCTTTTTCCTCTTTCTTTCTGTCTTCGTGTCTTGGCACCTCATCCCTTTTCTCTCTTACGCGCACATCTGTCCGACCCTTAGTGCACGCGCGCTCGCGCGCGCGCTTGCGCTTGAAACGGTTTGAGGTCGCTCAGTTTTTTACAAGGAGGTTGGATTCATCGGTTGTCCCTGGTCACTTGATTTCCTTTCATTGCAACCGCACACACCCGGCCTGTCTTGTCCTCCTTTCAAGTCCTCATCCGTTTGTCTGATTTCGTGCGCGCGTGCGTGCGCATTAGTCCACATCTTACTTCTTCCGTGCCTCCCCTTGTGGGAGGCACGTGTGTGAAACTCTTGGAACGACAGGGAATGCCTTGATTTGGCTTCGTTTCGTGTGTTTTTCTTGATAAACTGCAGGGGGGCAATCCCGCATTGCAGTTGGTTGCCCAACGAAGAGGGCTGCAATGTGGCTGATATCGGGAAGGGGCGCCTTCTGGACGTACCTGCTTGGTTGTGGTGTTTATAGTCACATCCCATTCTAACCTCAGGCTGCTTGGGTGAGGTGGGTCGGCAGACTTTGTACGTTTCGTCGTCCTTGTCGACCGCTCGACTCTCGGAATCTTGGAGCTGGCATTGGCACTGAAGGTTTGCAGAGAGAGTTCATGCTCACTTATTCCCCTGGTTTCCTTAAGTTTTTTACTTGGGCTGGCGTGTGGCAAACCGCAATCGAGTCAGAATGCAATTTCTTGAGTGTGTGTGTTGGCCCCTGCACTACTTGTATGTATCTCAGACGCAGACTTTCAGTATGCTCACCAAAACCTGTTCATTATTCAGATTCATACTACCTTTTCTCAATCGAGTGTGTGCACTGGGCCGGTGCACCACACCAACACTGTACATGCACATAGCACAGGTTGGCTGCTGCCCATCTGTAAAACCAGAGGTGTGTTGTTGGCAGCAGCAAAAGCCCACCCACCCACCCGTCATCCCCAAGTGGATGTATTGAGGGCGAGTGGCCAATGCCAGCTGCATTTGCAGCCTGGCCTGGCTAGTGACACTTGATCATTGCTTGGGAGAAGGGTAGTGTGCTATGCTGCTTGTAGAGTGTTGTGAGAGTCTAACAAACTGAAACACTTGTTGGTCAGACATCCCCAATAGAATGGAGGACATCTAGACCCTTTGAACTCTTTTCATGGACGTCCTTGCCTTCAATTCCCATGGCCTCACAGGTCCCACGGGTCTGATAGGGATTCGGTTCAAACCAGCGCTGGTGTTTTTTTTATTTTCTTTCAATGTGTCTGTGTGTTTTTTCCTATTCTGATTCTACCTTGAGACTTTGGACCATTTTTTTTTGTTTTGATCCACAGGAGGATTTGGAAAAGGCAACGGCAGCTACTGGATCAATGCTGAGTTTCGATGAGATCCGCCCCATGTTGGCTGGGACGTCCGTGCTTCGGTGCAACGAGGAACTGATCATTGAAAGAATGCTAGAAGCCTTCATAGCCACATATTTGATCCCCAAAACAGTCGGTGTTTCCCTTCTTTGACAATCACTAGTAGCTTTGCACCGTGCACATTTCAACAGCTTACAGCATACTCGTTAATCTGGTGTTGTGTGTGGTTTTTCCAGGGGATCAAAGTCTGAACCCCAAGATCTCAGGATTTGGTTCACAGCTTCAACTGCTACTCCACGGATTTGTGTCCAGCTCAATACTCTGGCGGCAATATTCATGACCGGCCTTGAGAGGGTTCATTGATGGATTTGGCACCGGGTTGACTTGGACCTGAAGTTCCTTCAAACTTGGGGTTGACAAAATGCTCTTCAGCCTTACATTCATGCTGGGGATGCTCCAAGCCCTGGCAAGTGACAGGGGACTCAGAAAAGAAACGACGATAACTACAACCGACAACCCGCATGTCATTTTGTTGCGACGCAGACATTGGGGAGCTGAAGAGTAGGTGCTGGACTGTAGTTCGTTGTGCATTGCAAAATTGTTGGGTCCCACGACAGGAGTATGCCACGATTGGCGGCAGGGGCCCAACTTTTACACTGTATCGGTCCTTGAACGATACCCTGACTGACACCCAAACGATGCCCAAAGTATGTCCGGGGAGTGCCGTCTTCACCACCGCCCTATTCAGTGCCAAATTAATGTGTTGTGACTGAAAGTCCCAAACAGATCGAAGCGAGCTCGCACATGCATGTTGCCAGTCGCAGTCGCAGTTCCAAGACCTCGGGAAGCGGCAAGGGACTCACAAACTGGCCGATGCAAAAGTTATGAAAAGCCACACATAATGAGAAATTATTACCGAACCTCATTTGAAAGCGCACCAAAAGTCAGCAGATCAAACAAGTTGCCCATGACAGTACTATTGTCAATTGCCGATGAGACTTTCATCGGATGATGGCACTTGATGCTAGACTTACCTAGACCTCCTGCTGTCTCAATGCAATTGGTGTGTTAACAACATCACAGAAGAAAAACGTGTTTATATCAAGGCAGAACCAATCCTTTCAGCTTTCAATCAACACCGGGATCACTTTGCCAGGATGTTGGAGCTTTGGCGGATCGTTACATCCCCTCAGATTTCAGCAGTCTTCCAGAGCTGTTGGAGTTCTGCGAGAAGATGAAGCCGGTGGCCATTGGCTTTGGGAGCATGCCGAGACTTGACCTTTGAATTGGCGGAAAATATGCAGTGTTAGCTTGCCAAAGGCCTTTAAAGGGTAGCTACTTTGATTCTTCTGCAAATGTCCTTCTGTTCCTTTATCTGACCACCAGCGCCACTGGCCAGGTTTGCACACGCTCAAGCTGTCATCTCTGGCCTGGAAGCGATCCAGTGCCGTGCTGTCCTGGTTGGGGACGCTCTGGCAGCCTTTGAGCCAACTCCCTGGACAAAGGCAAACATCGTGCAAGTGAGGAGTGTTCCGTACCCATGGTTGTTTCCTGGCCTCAGACCTTTGTATTACTTTTTGAGCCAACAAGTAGCGAAGGTAGTAAGGCGTAAGGGGTAAATAGGAGACCTGGGAAGCTACTAGACTGGGAGCTCAGGCTTCTTCAAAGAAGCTCCCCGCCTGAGGGTGGCGCAGCTTCCTTGAACAATCCCTCGCATGATTGATTTGGTTGCTAGATGTTTGGGAAACTTTACGGAAACTTTCCATGCCCTCGTGGAAGTATTGACCTTTGCTTGCATTCTGTGATGCAGAAGACACTGAACACGATTTGTTTCCTCATTTGGTACAAGAGTAGGTATTGAGCACTTTTGTTTATCGCCGCTTCCAAGGCTGCCTCATTGCAGGTGCATGGTGAGTCATGGCGGTGCCGGCGTGCTACACAGCACTCTTCGTGCTGGAATCCCTGCTGTCATTGCTCCTTTGATGGGAGATCAATTTGCGTGGGCCAGGCTGGTTGACGCCCGCTACTTGGGAGTCTTGCCTGCAAAGGCCAAACGAGTTTCACCCTGCTTCCCGGTTGAAGTAGTCCCTTTGTAAAAGCATGGTCTTGTGCATCATGAACTCTCAACTTCTGGGCTATCAAGCTTAATGGCATGCATTTTGATGCATTTTGAACAGGACCGAAGATATCTTTATCTCGATGATGTTGCTGCAAACATGACATATGACACAAGTGGATGATTTGACCAGTGGATTAGTGGCAGAATATCCAAGGAATCAATGCTGGACCAATGAATACCTTGAGTGCAGACGCGCTGGTTGATAGCTTGAAGCGACTGGATGCTCGACCAGAGTGTGCCAGCAATGCCAAGGAATTTGCCATGAAGATCAAGGACTATCAACAGTGAATTTCCTTGTTCTTACAGAGTTAGCATTTGTAGCTTTTGGTGTGTGTGCGACGTATGCAGAACATGCGACTGGTTGCTTTTCACTTGCCTTCATTGTCGGTTTCTCTTCCCTTCTCACTTGTGCAGCTGCCCGCTTACAGTCTTTCGTCTTTCGAGGAGTTTGTTAGATTAGATAGGCAGACTCCATAGCACTGCTTTCTTTAGAATACCTGCGGGCTAGTTTTATGAATTGTATGTTGGTCCAGCCGCCACGCTTCCATACCTTGCAGGACAGAGATTCACCGAAGGAGCTCGTGAAACTGCTGGAGCAAATCATGATGTGATATGTGATTGCTATCAAAGTGGTTTCAAGTGGAAGCAAGGCAGCCTCGAAAGGCGCTATACAGAAAGGAAGTAGTTGCTTTGACACTGGTTTGCGGCTCGATGCTGCAAGAACTCACATCACCGACATGCACAGAGTCGGCTTCCGCCCTCCACAGCTTGGCCACATTGATTGGAGAAGAGACGACGAAGAGATAAGAAAAACACATTTTGCGCAGAAGGACTTGCTTGGGTACTAGTAACAAGAAGCTACTAGGGGCTCCTGGCATCGGTACTAGGAGCAAGGACGCTACTAGGGGCTCCTGGCCGTACTAGGAGCAAGTAGCTACTATTGGTTTTTGAGAGTCTTTCGACCTTTCCCACCTTTCCCACGGCTCACTACAAGTACAAATGAAGGACAGACAGTCTTGATATTGCTTTCTTGATTCATGAAGATTGAATATGATTGAACCACTGCGCCTGCAAGATCCATGTTTCAAACATGCTTGTGCTCAGCGTCATATCAGGGAATTACTACTCCTAGTCTTCCAACGTGGTTTGTATTTGAAAGGCTCAGAGAGGTCCATGAGCAGGTCAAAAGCATAGGCGTTGCATAGAACTGCATGGATGGCCACTAGAGTCACTAGAGGATCGGCCTGGCTTTTGCTCGTGTTCCTTGCAAAAGTGACAAAGCGATTCATGTCCAATAACTTCAATTGCTTGCCACAAATTAAGCTGCACATTCAAACACGTCCGTGTTGGCCTAAGGACTTCAATCCAGAGGCACAGCTCAGGGAGCCACGCAGAAGTTGTGCAAACCGTCTTGGAAAGGAACTACAGTGGTCCTCACAATATGTGATGTAGGTATATAGTGTATCGCCCCAAGCAAACAAAAACCAGGGTCTATGCTTCTTCAGTTTGTGGGCAGTTGATGACAGTTTGATAATCTTTTCCTTTGAGTCCAGCTAGCGGACTGCGTAGAATGTGGATGCTACTGCTTTCGTGCTGACAGAATGGAGAGCGGACGCTCCCGGGTGTGCAAAAGCTTTTTGGAAAGTTCCAAAGAGCATAAAGAGCAAGATGCCATCAAATGCAACCACTGGAGTGGTGCTGTGTTGAAATGAACCACCGCCACCGCCACCACCACCACTTACTGTAGCCTCAGTGCTCATGAGGTGCCATCCACGGAGGAGTCCATGTCTCCGGGGCCCAACGGCCTCAGCTTCTCCACTTTGCAGCAACCACTGCGAGGCACTCCGTGCCTCGGAACTGAAGACGTCCGCAATTCACATCAAGGGACGCAACCAGACAAAAATACATGAAGGGTTCCATGATGTTCCAAGGGACTATGAAAAAAGCAGAGTTCAACTGATTCAACCTCAGACTGGCAAGAATATCATCTATTGGGATCCCTTTAATTGTTTACTTGAAGCCTTTGATTGAGCAGTGTATGGTTGGTGCTAAGACCTGTGCCCCACCCAAACAGACAGATATCCTGATGCCCCTCTTGGAAGACGATTCGTTTCTTAGGACTTCAGGTCACGCATCTGGTGTCAACAGACATAAGGAAGAGCAAATGAAAAGGCATATATGAACAGTTTGTAGCGTTTTATTCCCATCAGGAGTGGTGCACCATGGTGTACCCAACCTCAGTTTCAAGAGTTGCTTTGTTCACCCTTGGATGCAAAATTGGGATTTGGTGGATGCCATGGAACAGGGTGAGCGATAGAACAGTTCCCTTTTTGGATGACCGTTTCTAGTGAGCACACAAATTCATCCAAGGATCAGAGAGGGGAGACTTTGGTATCTCTCTGCAGAAGATCAGGCACGCTGAACGTGTGCCTTTTTCTGTCTGAACGATCGGAGCAAAGGTGTGGAAATAGGCCTGAACGATTAGAGTCATCGTTCATTCCAGCCTAAAGGGTCGTCGAATGCGTTGTGCTGACCATCTCCAGTCTGCAGCCCCAAGAGCATTTGCCTCAGTTTGACGCAGGTCGACGCTGTGCACTTTTCGCTCTATGTGAATGGCTTCTTCTTCAAGCATGAAGGCGGATGCCTTGGAGAAGGAACTACCGGACTACTTGATACTTTAGACTCCAAACTAAATGTCTCTCGTCGGACACCCTCTACACCTGCCAAGACTAAAATCGTTTTGACTTGGAAGAGTCACGCAGAGTCGAACAACTTGGAAAGTTGCTAGACTCCCGCACAGCGCGCAGAACAGTTGAATCACTCAGGTGTTTGTTGGCGGTCCCCAAAATCAATCCAATCTCCCTCATAGTGTTTGAGGATCAGGGCGGTAGCTATCAGGGCGGTAGCTGACGTAAACCAGGCTGCAGGCATTGCCTCGCTTCCTGACAAAGCTGCTTTGCAAATTGAGATATGAATGGGAGCACTGAGCTGACCAGCTACAGTGGTGGTGGTTGTTGTTACACATCTTTTTTGCAGACGTTCCAGGCGTGGAGGTCTCTATCTCCTTGTCACCCTTCGTGCTCGTCCGGAAGCTTCGTCCACAAATGGGGTGACCAACCCAAAGGGCAAAGACGGTGACAGAGCCAACAGACATATGTACATATATCATATATCATATATGTCTAATATATGTACTGTATTGGATACAACTTTGATCAACTTTGTATATAGTATTTGTGCATACATTGTGTATTGTGTATTATAGTGGTATACTACGGCAGTGGTGAGTATAGTGTATTCCACTGGCCACTGGCTGTCTTGCACATGTCATGTTTGGCACAGCACGGTGGGTGACATTGCCTGACTCAGGCCGCTGACACGTGTACCATGTGTTGATGGACAGCGCAAATCTTGTGTTCCTTCCGGACAAACTTGAAGTTCTTCTGTTATTTCTATCGTATCTGAGTCAAGTGCCCTTGATAAGTGCTGAGCTTGAGCACTAGCGAGATCCAAGGAATTGTAAGTTCCAAAGTGGTCGCGGCGACCCAGTCTTTTGTGCTTCAAGCAACTTCATATTGTATGGATCACAGCTATGAACCGGTGCTGGATATGGGAAGAAATCGGAAGAAGCACTTTTGAGTGTGTGTTGTAGGTCCAGTCATTTCTATTCATGCTGAATGCACTTTGATACTTCAACATACGAGAAAAAATACAGTATTTCAGAATAGGAAGAGTTCATGTTTATGTTTTTTTCATGACGATGAGCCAGTGTTTGCTAAGGCTACAATGCGACGCTTACGGTGACCGTCTCAGTTGGTTGTGCTTTTTGTTTAATACGCTGTCACAGCTTCAAAGGTCAATCAGGCCGGAGTCAGATGAACAAACATGGGACATGCTATGAAGTGCTTAAGCTCCTAGCTCCCAAAGGGCGATTGGCTTCTAAGGATGTGAAGATTTTCAAAATCTCATTGTTCGCGCAACTGGACAGCATTCGATGAGACATTGCTCAGCTGTCGCTGAAGGGTCACGTGTCCCAAAAGGGCTGATTGTATGTTAGATGATCAAACGCTGTATTCTTGATCTGATTGTTTTAAGCAACACTTGTATTTTTATGCGACTTCGTGATTGACGAGGGACACTTTCTCACCCTTAGAGCTACGCCAACAGCATCAACCTTCTCTACCAATTTATGCCATGGCGTAGCCATAGTATGACTTGGTAATTGTGGCATGTTTGGTTGCAAAGTCAGAATACTATGGCAGCGTGATCATTCAATCACTATTCAACCACCTAGCCTCGCCCTAGCCAACCTCGCCACAGGCCTCGAACTCAGCTACCCCTTGCGATAGACTAAGAATGCGCTTTTAGCATTTGGAAACAAGAAACATACTAGCTTCTTTCTTTCTGAATGTCTTTCTTTCTGTTTCTTTAGCAATTTCACTTTTCTTTCCTTTCTTGTTCTTTTTCTTGCTTCTTTCATTCCCAAACTGCCTTAGGTCTTGGGCTTAGCTACCCATACTTTTTCCTCGTAGAAACAAGAGGACGTTCTGATTCTTAGTGGTTCGAGACGGGTTCAATTGTGACGATCTCAAAGGGCTCGTCAACAATGGCTTGTGAGATATTGCTTGATATTATTGTACTTCAAGCAACACTCAAAGCAAATCTGCAAACCCAAATGACATGCTTTGGCATTAATTAGGTCTTCCATGGTCTTCCGATGTTTTCTGAATGATCGTTGTTAAGGCATGTTAAGGCTATACGCAGAGGGTCTTCATGTTAAACTTCATCGTCTTAAGTCCTTATTGCATGAACACACTCTTCTTGCGAAAAACGAGGGTGATGTCAAATCCCTGCTAAAGTCAAACACGAGCTGTGCCCCCATTCAAGTCTGCACAACTTTCCTCGTGGTAGAATTGGTTGTCGATCGGTCAGTTGATTCACCAGTTGATAGTTGATGGGCTAGTTGGTCGGGTGTCAGTTGGTCTGTGTGTTTGTTGGTTCGCCTTTGTCCATCTTTGTTCACCTCATTGTAAGTCAGGCACAGCGCTTGCTACTACTTCGGGGTCCGCTCGGATGATGAGCGCTGGGCAGAAGAGGAGAGAAGCCGTTGGGCTGCTGGGCAGACATAGATGCGCGTAATTAGGGCCTCTGCGGGATTTGATAGGCCAAGAAACATCCTGTCTGGAACGGAACAAACATGTCGTACTTGTACCGGAGACTCAAGTAGTGGAATAGCTTCGGGATTCAAGCCTTGAGATCATTTTTTAAAGCCCGCTCCCCCCTCCCTACTAGAAGCTTTCTTGGGAATCGTTTCACTGGGAATCGTTTCACCTGTAGTAACAAATGAGATGCACCGGAAGTCGTTTTTCTTAGGTCTTGGACGTCTCGCGGGCAATTCGCCTTGTCTCTCGGCGCTGATTCATGCCGAGCAGATTGCTTCTCAACAGCGCATGGATCAAATGCATAGAGGATTGCTTTGTGACAGATGAGCACAAATGTGATTCATGACTTTTGCATAATTTTGCTACTGTACGGAGTTGCTCTACGGAAGGAATGGAAAATAATAGATCGTCGGAGGCCGGAGGAACTCGCATTCTGAGGTCACGCAGAGCCTTTTTCCGCCCTTCCACATCACATGCGCACCGGTAGAGGACCCGCGTGCAGACTTCCAAACATGTCAAGATCTCCCTTTTTTCAATCTCCCTCTCAGCACAAGGACTCTACTCATGTACACTTGAAAGTAAACAGTAAACCTCTTGTCCTTTTGCATCTCACCTCAACCACCTCTGTATCCGCCCGCCAGATTTCCCACTAAAACCACCTGTTATGGCTGGCTTTAACTCCCTCTGCTTATCCAACTAAAGTCGACTGTGCCAATTGCCGTGCAGGGTGTGCCTCGAACCCGGCGGCGTTTGATGGCGGGCTATTTGGTGCATCATGAGGATGTTGCTTGGCTAAAGACACCAATTAAAACCACACAAAAAAAGACATGTTCTTGGCATCACAAAAACAAGCCTGGAAAATGATCACATTATCAGGGCGGGGACACAATGAATAGCATGAGACATCTACGCGCAGACCCACTAGAGCGAAGCCAACCCTGAGACTGCTTGGACCGATTGAATAATAGAAGACCCCTCCTTCAGGTTCAAGGTTTAGAGAACTTGTTGCTACCCAAACAAAAGTGTCGCTTTGCACATTTCAGAGCAGTACTTTCAGGATAGTACATAGGTGCCTTGGCAAGTTGGAGAGGTTCACACTGGAAGATACTGTAGTCTCTATCCACTTTGGTCATGAGGTTGGAGCTTTGTGAGAGAAGGCTTTGATAGCTTTGGGGTGTTATCTCAATGCAGCTGCAGTTTTCTGACCTGCTGTTGCGGCATGGACGGGCCACTAAGCTTAAGCCCTGAGGTCTCTGTGGCCTCGGTGGTCTACTTCGAGCTGCAGGCGCACGAGAAGGGCATGGCCCGGATGATGCTCTACGAGAGCCATCGCTGCCAGGTGGGGGGTGAATGAGGTGCTTTGACGGTGGCGATTTTGTTCACCAATGATTTGTGAAGACTGACGTAGCAAAGCGCCACAGTCTCTATGATTCTTGCTAAGCGCCTGCCTTGGTGTCCTCGCTCCATTCACAAACACGTTTGCTGCAAAACGATATCTTCCAAACCATGAGTTTGGAGGACACTTCTGGCTTGCCCGTACAGAATTCCTAGCAGGGAGTGATCGGGGAGATTCCCTTGCACGAGAGTGCTATGTGCTCCGAGAAGATTGGCATCAACTGCAGCTGCTTCAGTGTGGAGGAGACCTCACTGCAAAGTTCAGAAAGAGTTTCATGATTGGGGATAGGACACGCAGATGCTTCCAATCATCGAAACGCCCCAAAAGCTCCTTGTGCTTGAAGCACATCGACGATGTTTTGCATTCCCTTGTGAGGGTACTTGGAACGGACCACAACCGACAACAGCTCCGTATTGAACAATGAAGACGTGTCAAACCTTGTCTCTGGGGATTCTAGATTGGTCATGATTGGTTCTCCGTGAAGTCCGGTGGATTGTCAAAGGCCGTGGCAACGATCAACAGGGCGACTCGGTCGCTGTCAGGACCATCAGTTCTCCACCCGGACTCTGGCCGAGAGGAAACTGTGGTTGCGCGCCCCTTGACATCGACGCGACCAGGAACCTGTGATAGCCTAGTATTGTCATGTGTTGTCCACATCCTCCATCAGATGCAAGTATTCGGGAGGAGTAGTGTCCAAGTAGGTTAAAGTTTGGTAGCTTCATGAGAAGCTTTGGAAGTTTTGGGCCATTGTTGATAGCTGTTGAAGGATTCAGTCCACCAGAAGACACCAGCAGAACACAATACCAAAACACTTTTTGGTGGACGACTACAGTAATAAAAAGAACAGAACATTCATCAGATGTTTCATCAACTATCGATGAACAAGTACATGGGAGAGCATAGCAGGCAGCAAAAGCTTGCTGGACAACTAGCACAGCACCAACAAAATCCAACACATGCAAATGTCAATGGAGAACATTTGAGAACTACCAAAAAACAACAATTGGATCTCAACCAGAACCTAACAAGAAGTCAATGAAATATGTATATATATATAATATATATAATTGAAGGATGAATAACAAGGTTTATTTAAAAGAAAGATCTAGTTTTCTGGGTGTATTATATATTATGTATCATTTTGTTGGCATTTGGGCAACTGGTGTTGTTCTGATTTTCATGATACGAAGTAGACACATAGACCAACCCAGTAGTGAGTAGTGTATTGATGCTGTCATTGGTGTCTTGATGCTCCAGTAGTTTGGGCGGGATCCAGCCAGCCTGGCTAAGGCCATCTCAAACGTGCGGGCCAGTGCCCTTGGAGACCGGTCGAACGTCGTTTTGGCCGGTAGGAGCAAGGACGCTATTAGGGGCTCCTGGCCATACTACTAGGAGCAAGAAGCTATTAGAAACACGAATTCAATAGAAATAGAATTAACATTAATTAGAATTTCACTAGAATTCAAACACTATTTTGACTATTTTGCTTTTTTCATTTGTTTTCAAGGGATGGTCCCTTGCACTGAGGTGAAGCTCCAAAACTGTGCACCGGATCCAACCGAGGCCTTCGAGTCTATCGATTAGAGACAAAGAGAAGAGAAGTGAAGTAAAGATGTTCATAACCGTCCATGCTTCTATCTTAATCGTAAATAGGTACTGTGGCTGACACAAACTTTTTTGTACCAAAGCTTTGGAAGCTCAGCTATCGCGCGCTAATCATGCAGGCCACAACCAGAACATCCAACGTGCAAACACGCCGCTCCCTCTGCCAGGAAGAGCTCAACAGCTTCCGTGTGGCCATCAAGGTACAAGAGGGATAGATTTGTCATGCAACCCGTCGTGCAGCAAGAGTCAAAATTAAGTTTGCAGAAATGAGATGGCCTTCTGGTGCCACTGAGAAAACCAAAGATTTTCTTGCTGGAAAGTTAAGTTGTCATTCCAGTGCACCTTAGCTGCTTCTTTCCGCACGTCAGCTGCACGTTAGCTGCTTCGTTGAGGACAAACATGAAGACCTTTTGCGGGCAACAACTGAGGGTTGTTTGGAAAAGTATCGCATTTTGTACGTATACCGTATACGTTACTATCAGGCAGTAAATGCTGCAAAAGAGCCAGGTCAAGGGCGAGTCTACTATACTATTGTGTCACATAGCCATAACTTCAGTTAACAGGATGACAGCCGGAGGGCTTCTCCTGTCACAGAGGCCTTGTTTCGGGCATATTTGTTGCACCTGCTGCGGAACAGGAGCATCTGCTGAGCATTCGCGCGGCCATCCAACCTCCAGGCAATCTCCTTGGATTTTGGTCTTGACGTTGGATTCCCCTTGTGCTGATGATTGATGGCTGGCCGGAAGAAGGTCAGAAATGACGAAAACTTCACTAGCAGGTACTGCTCCGTTCCTTTGAAGGCATTCAAAAGGTTTGGACACTCAATGTTCCACTGTCAAAATGGTGACCAAGAGGCTTCAACCCTTGAGTCACCAACCCAATATTCTTCCCTTTAGCCACTCACCAGCCTGATCAGATCATCAATTCCTTTGGAAAAGTCTGAATAAGAGCAAGTATCAAGACCTCCTGTGAATGTGGAGCTTGCTCACCTGTGATTCTCTCTTCCAGAATATCTGTGTAAACACATGGAGGTTTGGAGGTCAATGCTTGTTGTGTCCAGGCTTCAAGGTGGTCAACTCTGTCTGACACTCGGAGTCCAAGCCACTGCCGACGAGAGGAATTGGATATTGAGCAAGCTCAAGGTGGTTAGCAGTGGTTCTTTTTGTGAGCGGTTCATGTCAAGGAACAGTCAAAGAGCCTGCTCCAAGGTTCGCATGGGCATGAAATGAAGCAAAGCTGAGTCTGACAAAAGAATACCAGTTATACAAGAGACTTATAAAATGCAACAGGCCTTTAGGATCCTTCAGAAATCAGTGAGATGCTTTTTGGGCTGCACCGAGGCAAACGGACTGAAGTGCCAGGCGCAACCAGCTTGTGTCGCGAAAACCTTTTCTGTCTATATTCCATAGTATTTAGTGGCAGTGGAGCGCGCGCGTGATAGGCAGCTGCCAAAAATTGAACCCAATGCCATTCTCAGTCAAGGCATGTACCAACACATTGTACATGATGCACTCCACATACTAGTAACTACTAACTACCAAAGAAGACGCTGTCATAAGCCTCACCGAGGACAACTTTCTAGCCAGCTGACCTTGGCTGACTGATGAAAATTATTGCTTGGCTTCCTAATTGCCCAATTGCAAATGTGTGGGGTTGAGGTTGGTTTTTCTTTTTGCATTTCATGGCAGTCAATGGACCCTCTACTCCAGCGATGCCATCCGCTGGGGCCTGAGAATGGATCGATTGGAGTCTCCTGAGTTGTGCATCTACATGAGATCAGCCGGTGACCTCAGACCTCACAAGAGAGTTCTGCTCAAATTCTATGGATTTTAAGTCTGACACCACAGTTATGAGAAAGGACCCAGCTGCTACACATGCTTTACGACCATCCTCATGCCCTGTGTGACGGATCCAGCCAGACCTGAGCAACACTGTTTTTCAACAGTGCAACTCATCAATGTGTCGCATAAGGATTAGTGGTTAGTGCAGTAACACTAGATCCTACCAAAGCTCGCGACCAATTTCATCGAACACATTCGCGGCCTCTAAAGAATCCAAGCACCGCGTAGGCACCCTTTGGCAGTTCCCACAACGATGGCCCCAACAAACAGCACCATGCTCGCCCGGCTCGCCCCGCCTGGAAGTTCGCACTGAAGGCCTCCGAGGTGTCGCGGTAATAAAGCACCCTACGGATCATTGCCAATGTGGGGGAGCCTGACCTGGAAGCGCTGGACTCTTCGTATTCGTAGACCAGAAGCATATTTTGGTGGAGTCGCAGAAAGACTGCATGATGGTAGGCGCGCCAAATGACGGCTGGACACAAATGAGTTCTTCGTTGCAATCCAATAAAAGTTAAACTCAAGATAGACCATGAGGTAGGCTAGCGATCGGATTGGGACATGGAGAATGCCTCATGTTTGTCTCTGACTCATTTGACACCTAGAAGCACTACATTTGCTTCTCTGCATTCGCTCAGGAGCGTGACAGCCATCAAAGCCTCTGGCCCAGGCCCAGGTTTGGATCATCAAATTGCGGTCGGTGGTCGGCTTTGGTTCTCTTTTTTGGTTCTCTTTGGTACATGTTGAATCGCTTCTGGTTCGCCCTTCCTGCATTCTGGTTCGCTTTGGTCGTGTCGTTTTCTGTCTCATGACAAACTATGCTGCTTTGCGAATGTCACCCCACCCATTTGCCAGCATGGAATACTGTCGACGACCGTAAACACAGCACTGCCCTGCCCATTCAGTAGATTCGACAATGATAAAGCACCGCCCCACCCAACGCGATGTATATAATATATATATATACAGAGAGAGAGAGAGGAGAGAGAGATGTGAAGAGCCACACAATTGAGCGAAACTGTGGGGCTCATGCTTGTCCATGACCCAAAGTTAGGCCAAGGTAAGTAGTACATATGTAGATATATGATACATGTAGTACACATACGTCAAGCGTGTACAAGATTGCACCAGTGGACCAGCTGCATGGTGTAAGTGCATAGATCATCATAGATCTCAAATTCAACACCACCCATGAGCCTGTTGTGAAACATGCGTGTATGCACTTTGCACACCTCAATAGGAAGCTACTTAAACAACCAACGCGATCTGACATTTTGTGCACGACGGAGCAATACAATCTGAGAGACTGTGCCTTTCTCGGCATAATCCGGCCTGCCATGGGGCGTTTTGCTTGAAATGAGGTGGAAAAAGCGCTGACAGTGAGGTGGCCGAAGAGAGCAGGCCTGGCCTCGGGAGCGGCTGGGAAGAATACGTCAAGTGTTCTTGCGCTTTCGTGACAAGCAAAGACCAATACGGCCTGTATGATATTTGATTCTCGTCAGGTAGAAACAGCACTTTATTCTTTTTTCCGAAGGGAGCAGGATAATGCTTTGCGTTGTACTTGGCTGTGCCTTGTTCAATTTGTTTTGCAATGTTCACAAATTTAGCAACTGTCATTCAATGGTGTTGTTCCAACTATATAGTGCAATCAGAAAGAGGGAGCAGAGCTTACCCATTTGGAAAGTGTCAGGACTGTGCAGTGAAGACTGTGTCTTAAATTTGCTGGGATGAAGGTGTGGGAATGTCGGCACTGTGGAAAACTTTCAGCAATGGATGGCAGGTGAATAAATTATATGCAAGAGTGACTGCCATGACGACCAGACAACAGCGACAACGACAACACCCTCACCAACGGCAGCTCACAGTAACAGAAAGGGGTGTACCCAACGGCGCATGTTCACAACTGTATTAGCCGTATTCAGAGATCGTTTTTTACATCATGTATGAGTGCCTTTGCGCATTTGCAGGATCGAGCTGCAAGGCATCCAGTCGGCGGGCCTAAGGTCGTGGAGCATGTTCAAAGCCTTTCAGCAGAAACACCAAAGGGGTGACAGTTGCAACCAGAACAGACAATGGCAAAAGTCCAACCAAAGTGAACCCAACCGTTCTGGTGCTTTGTGAGGCGTCCATTGAGGTTGTCATCTCCAAGGATTAGCAAATTACATTTGCCCTTTTGGGGTTCACACTTCAGTCCTTTCTTCCTTCCCTCCTATTATTGTTCTTCCTCCTGTCATGTTGTTGGTTTGGACCAGTTGCAGTTCTTGTCTCTGTGGAAATCGACCCAGTCCTTGCTTGCAGATTGCTGATACTGACATTGGTTAACGTCTTGCAGAGATGTTGCTGCTTGAAAGCTCTTCCTTTCCTGAATATTTTGGAATACCTCATCATCTTACTAACATGCAGTCCAGGACTCATTGCAAAATGTATCAACATGTGTTTTTCCTTGCCTTGGGTCCGCGCATGGACAGACGACGTGGGTTTGACAGTCAATTGCTTCCATCTTTTTCTGCTCTAAGGGTGGAGTTGAGACCAATGCCGCGTGCCACAGCCAGGACCAGGTGATGGCACGACACTTTAGAGTCCTTTAGGACCACGACTTTCACGACAGGTTCACTTAAGCTGCGCATTGTCACCTGAGTTGTCCTGATAGCTACATCAGCTTGTTCAGGTTAAACGCTCATGAAAGAATGGACCTTGGACCATGGTCCTTTGTTATTGTCAGAGAGTCTGCGAGGCTGAGGAGCTCTGTACGGACTAATTACTAGTCAAGCAAAGCGCAACTTCCGTCGAACTTTCTACAATTGCCAAACGTGACAACAGTTGTCCTAGGGCTAGGAGATGCTAGGAGTATAACTGTAGGATCTATGATGATCTATGACGATGTATTTCTTTCCTTCCATGTCCCGCTCCAGGTCCGAGGAGTTTGCTGTTGTGCCAAAGCCAGGCAGCTTTGCCTTTGATTTCTAAGGAGGGCCACAAGGAAACTCCAAAACAGGGAAGTTCAATGATGTTAATGAATGAATGTGCCGGGCAGATGCTAAAGACAGATAAAGTGGTGACTCAAACAATTTTACTTATGAAGATTTGCCTCGTTTGTATGCTTGTAAAGAGGAGTCCTAGCCGATGTTTGCTTCGTTTTCCTTTTTCAACATTTAACCATCAACAGGTGGCCGACTCATAATCAGAGGGTAGAAGCTGGTACTGGAGCTTTATCACATGGCCGCCCAAAGTCTTTTCTCCAAAGAAATATAAGTCGGGTAAACCTTGATGACTGGGTGACGGCAAATGGCAGGCGACGGATGACGTCAGCTTGAAGGCAGCATCATGTTTTTATGGTCTGCTTTTGGATGTTATTTTTCATTTTTCCATACAAGTTCTAATCTCTAGCGGTTCTTTGGGAGAAGTGGGCAGCAGGTGATGATTTTCATGGAAAGACACCATTTACCTAGAATCAACATCGCCCTTGCGCGACATAGGACGCTACTAGTAACAATGGGCATCGCTACTAGGAACAAGGACGCTACTAGGGGCTCCTGGCATCGCTACTAGAAGCAAGCAAAATGCTTCATGTCCAAGCAAAATGCTTCATCAGCGGCCTCTCGTGTCTTTAAAGACATGTAGTAGACGTACGAACATTTTGGCCGATTAGCTGCGGTCCGACTCCAACTGCTAGACAGGCATGGCAGCCGCCGGGTGACCACTTGTACAGCCAACCAAGTCCATGGTTGAGTGCCGCTCGCCCCCCTCCTGGACGGAAGATTTGTGTCCCTCCCCTACTGGTAGGTGCAAGGGGAACAACGGTGTGTCAAATCTAGAGCTTTTGGCAAATGGCAAGTTATATATGTTCTTGAAGCCCCACACAGTCACACGCGCGGCTTCATGCACCTCGACACAGATCTTAGCTCACACCATAGCTTCAATGCAAGGTATTTCCCAAGCTATTGCACATTACGGATGACTTGTGCCCATCCAATGCTGGACACGGATGCCGCAGTGATCTGGCAATGACATTTAGTGACTAGTGACTTATGATTCTTGTGCTGCCCACCCAGACTCGGCAATGGACTCAATCTAAAGTTTGGCACAAACTGGATTGATGTTAATCGCAATAGCCACAGGAGGGGTGATCTCGTGTGAAACAGAAGTCACCTGTGACCGAAGTGGTCAAAGAACCCTTCCGTGCCCGGATGCGTCAGTGTGTGGGGGGGGTCTCGAATCAACCTCCTCCATTCTTAGACGCCATTCCTGTGCGTTGTGATGCCTTGTGACTTGTGACTCCTGGCATCAAAAGGATTCAATCGTATTTCGATGTCATCAGAAGTGGCTTTGATCCCGGGGTAGAGGACGCTACTAGGAACAAAGGGCATCGCTACTAGGAGCAAGGACGCTAGTTACTAGGAGCTTTTTTTGACATCACCCGCTTGCTTTTTGTGGGGCCGACAGCCCATCAGGCAAGATGCGAGGGACGGACTCTCCAGGTCAGCCCCAAAGACCCCAAAGTGACAAAAATCAAACGGATGTCGTGGCAGTGCAATTCAAGAGAAGGGTAGCCAGGTAGCAGGACCGTCCATGGACTGCCCAATTTGTCCTACGTTTGCGTATTATCAGATACCTGCTGCCGTAAGATAATAATCTGAAGTACTTTAAATGCTTCCTCTTCATTTCATCACTAAAGTCACCAAAGGAAGCTTGCACACACAGGTTGGAAGAAGTGGTGGGTGGGATTCCATCCCTCAATGCCGAATTTAGCTTTCGGCTCAGCTCTAAACCTGACTCTGTTCGCCTCATCAAAAGCGATGTTGCGCCTTGCTGCTCTGGTGTCTGGCGCCACTTGGCACTTCTGCTCTTGTTTGTTCATCCTGGGTGGGTCGATGGGCAAATGGTCAGTTGGTCACAGCTGCAATCCACAACTACATCAGAAAGATGGGCCCGAGGCATGTAGAAGGAAGAACCCAATGAGATCAAAGAAGCAACATTGCTCTATACCCTTGCTTCTTGTGCTGAAGAACTGCAACACACTCACACATATAATATACTGTATATATATATATATAGATGTGTTTAATACCCAAGGTTGGATGCCCCGATTTGCTTTTTTCTTGGACATTGCAGTTCTGCCGCTCTGCCCTTTAAGTACAAGGTGGTTAGCAAATGCTGCGTTGCTGGTGGCCTTTTCATGCCTTTTCGATTTCTGATATTGTTGAACTACCATGGGCTGCAGATGTGCATGGTTTATGATGGTGCATGCACGCGTGTTTGGTGAGGTTGCTGCCATGTCCGACCCTTCTGATGCGAAGCCAAGTTGCTCGGAGGTGGGCAAGGCCTACATGGACACAGCGCCCAAACCTGCGATTCATCAACACTTCGGTGGTGTTGAAAGGGCTCCTGATGAAGAGACACCCACTGCATCAGTTTACTACTCATAGTTGTAGACCACGCCAGTGTTTTTGCGTAGAGGGTTCTTGTACACTACCCCGGTGCGCATAGGTTGCTGCGCGACATATTCTGCGTACCATTTGCATGCACATGCGTTTGCTCACTGAGAGCAACCAACCATCATTTCCAAGGCTACTTGGACTGTTGAGCTTTTCAATGCACTACTTTTCCTACAAGCGCTTGTAGGTGTTACAATTTGTTTTGTTTCCAGAATGCAGGCACTATTGAAAGCCAGCACCTCATCGTAAGAAAACTTCTCTCGGCTTGCCTCGAGTCGTCAGTAGAAAGCCCAAGGCTCAGTGTGCAACAGCAATAGGCTCTTTTGAATGGTGGTTACATAGGGGTTGAAAATTTGAACTTGTAACTTATCCCAAAAAGTAGAATAGGCTCTTTTGGACAAGAGGGTTACTAAGGGAAACCTTACTACATATATGGGCAGGAGGCTTCTTTGGAAGGAGAAGGATCGCAGCAATAGTCAGTATGCAAAGGCTGCACAGTGCCACGGAGCCAAGCGTGCTCAGATTAGCAGAGAATGCATCTCCCTCGCAAGCCCCAATCTCTGATTTTCCAGAAGCTGCGACCCGTTTCCTCCAGAAGGCGTTTGTTTTCCATTGCTGGGTTTGGCGCCCCTTGAGTTTTGCTTGGCGTGAATTGTTGCCTCCAAGCCCAAGTGTTTCTGCTTTTCCCGAATGGTCCAAGTTTTCAGGTCCCCAGGTGCCCTGTCTTGCCAAAGAGGTGTGGAACTGTGGAATCATGTTTTTTGTCGAATCGTTTCTGAACTGTATTTAAGAGGCTTACACCTGACAGCCGGGCGCCGGCCAAGCAGGGAGAGGGTGTGTTTTCAGTTGGGAGGGAAGGAAAAAGCCAAAAAAGTTGTCGCGGACGATGTTTGTGAACAAAAATGGCGGAACATATCTCCAACATAGGCCCAAGATAGCCAACATAGGGCAACATGGGGCTAACACACGCCATCGTATGCCAACATAGGCCCAACCTGGGCAAACCTAGGCCAACATTTACCAACATAGGTGTAACATAGTTTCAACATGGGCCTAAGATGTGTTCAACATAGACCACATGGGCCCAACTTGGTGCAACCTAGTGCGAAGATGCGCACCAGAGGGCTAAACTTTGCGCAATATAGGCCCCACCAAGACTGAAAAAGAGAGAAGGAGAGAGACAGAGAACTCAACCGTAAGATCCAAAAAAGCCGCGTAAATTGGGTGTGTGTGGGGATGGGTTCTCTCTCTCTCTGTCGCTTGGTCTTTGTCTTTTTCATTCTCTCTCTCCCTTTTCTCTCTTTGTCTGTGTCTGTCTCTGTCTCCGTCTTGGTATCTCTCCCTGTCTCTCTCTCTCTCTCTCTCTCTCTTTCTGTATCACTTTCTTTCACTTTCTTTCTCTCTCTCTCTCTCTCTCTCTCTCGGTCTTTCCTTTTCCCCTCTTCGATTGCCTCTGTCTCCGTCTCTGTCTCCGTCGCGGCATTTGTCAGCAGCTGTCTGTGTCTCTGTCCCTATGTGGGCAAGCAAGAGGGAGTGAGGAAAGCGTGTAGGAGCACCGAAGACGAAACGCAGCTGGCCGACTGAGAGCTGGTGGCTCTCAGAGAGAAAAACTGGAGCAGCTAGACAAAGCCTGAGCGGGGTCACGACCTTTCTTCCGGGCAAGACTAGGAGATCCCAAGCAAAGCCTCGCGGACGTTGCGGAAGACCTGCAAGGCCATCGTGCGCTGCTCCTGAAAGCGCATAAATTGGGTGTGTGTAGGGCTGGGTACTCTCTCTCTCTGTCGCTGAGTCTTTGTCGGCTTCATTCTCTCTCTCCCTTTTGTCTCTCTGTCTGTATTTGTCTCTGTCTCCGTCTTGGTATCTCTCTGTCTCTCTCTCTCTTTCTGTAGCACTTTCTTTCACTCTCTTTTTTTTTTCTCTCTCTCTCTCTCTCTTTCTCTCTCTTGGTTCTTTCCCTTTCCTCTCTTGGTTTGCCTCTGTCTCCGTTTCTGTCTCCGTCGCGGATTTGTTCGGCAGCTGTCTCTGTCTCTGTCCCTACGTGGGCAAGCAAGAGGGAGTGAGGAAAGCGTATAGGAGCACCGAAGTTGAAACGCAGCTGGCCGACTGAGAGCTGGAGGCTCTCAGAGAGAAAAACTGGAATAGTTAGACAAAGCCTGAGCGGGGTCACGACCCTTCTTCCGGGCAAGACTAGGAGATCCAAGCAAAGCCTCGCGGATGTGGCGGAAGACCTGCAAGGGCATCGCGCGCTGCTCCTGAAAGCGCATAAATTGGGTGTGTGTAGGGTTGGGTACTCTCTCTCTCCTGTCGCTTAGTCTTTGTCTGTATCTCTCTTTTCTCTCTTTGTATGTTGGGGATATGTTGGCTATCTTGGGCCTATGTTTGCCTATGTTGGCCCTGTGTTGAGCCATCTTGGAGGCTATGTTGGGCATACGTTGGGGATATGCCTATCTTGGGCCTATGTTGGAGATATGTTAGGCAACTTATGTGCACAACACCCACGAAATGTCGATTAAGCCTGTCCGCACGGCACGCGTAACCGACACCACCGACGCCCTGTTAGACGAAAGTCGTGTCCGCCGACACCCACGAAACACTGTAAAACACGATGTTTTTGAACATCCAACGCCAAAAACTTGGTAGATACATATACATCCGTCGACCGGATTCGACCGGGGGTCGACACGGGGTATACACGCGGCTCAACAAAAGGGTCGGCGGCAGGGGCGGCGAGCGTATATTACCTTCGGTTAGCAACCGAAGGCCTCCGGCAAGGGAACGTGCGCGTGGCCGGCGCCCGGATTTATGAGGCTTACGCCTGACAGCCGGGGGGCGGCCTATTTGGGTTTGGGTATGTGCAGGGCTGGTTCCCCGCTCTCTCTCTCTCTCTGTCTCTCTCTCTCTCTCTCTCTCTCTTTGAGACTTGGTGGGGCCTATATTGAGCAAAGTTAAGCTATCTGGTCCGCATCTTGGCCCTAGGTTGGGCCAAGTTGCGCCCATGTCAACACCCACGAAATGTCGATTAAGCTTGTCCGCGCGGCACGCATAACCGACACCACCGGCGCCCTGTTAGGCGAAAGTCGTGGCCGCCGACAGCCACGAAACACTGTAAAACACGATGTTTTTGAACATCCTACGCAAAAAACTTGGTAGATACATATACATCCGTCGACCGGACTCGACCAGGGGTCGACCGGGGGTCGACACGGGGTCGGGCGGAGGTCGACCAAAAGGGTCGGCGGCAGGGGCGGCGAGCATATATAACCTTCGGTTACCAACCGAAGGCCTCCGGCAAGGACACGGGCCCGTGGCCGGCGCCCGGATTTAAAGGCTTACGCCTAACAGCCGGGCGCCGGCCCACTTGGGTC